AATTTTAATTTATCTTCTGCAATCAGTAAAAAGATGATATTCTATAACCCTTAACTCTCCTCTACTCCATAAACGCCGATGCTCAAGCTTACAACTTTCGACCCATTTTCAGGTCAATTTTAACCTTTCCCTGGGTGGAGTTAGGCGGTAAAGTGAACATCACGTGTGCCAAGACAGGATACAACGCGTCTGTGACGTTTCACACGAAACCGTTTTATGGCGGGAAACTTCATCGAGTCACTGGCGAAGTGAAAAACACGTCATCTGGAAAAGTTATCTGTAAAGTTAATGGAGAGTGGAACGGCCACATAGAACTGAACTTCACCAGTCATCAGGTTTGTGTGTTTGACGTTGCCAGGGTTTTTAGGAATTCGGGTTTCAAAGATCTTTTTTAGTGTGGCAAACGGTATTTTATCTTCCTAAGGGTGTAACCTTTTTATACAATTTGGACGTCTTCTGGAATCTTGAGGCAAAAATTGGGTGTAATAGTATCGCACAGATTCAGTTGTGGATAAAATGTTTTGTTTCCTAATTACACAGGAAGAACCAAAGGTAATCAACACAGAGGCACTTCAGGTTTGTCGAAAGCGTGTCTGTCCCCAGTCAAAACAAGACGAGTTCGAGTCTCGCCGGTTATGGCACAGAGTCACGCATGCGCTGAAGAGTGATGACATCGATTCGGCTACGTCAGCGAAACACGAGGTAAGCGTTGAATGACTCATTGTTTTCAGAGTGATGAACTTTACATGCAGAAATGTTTGAACCACAGGTTTTCGTTAGTTGTCAAACATTCATAGCTCGCGAAAATCTGCCTTTGATGCTCTATAGAATAGATAAAGTGTGACATCAACTTAAGACCCGTGATTTACAAAATGAAATGATGCGAAACTATCGATTTTCCGTGTTTTTTCTTTCGTATGAATGATGAGCTGTCCTTTATTGTTGTGAAGAACACCCCACCACAGTGTCGTAAAACATTAGTTAATCTTAAAGCAGCCACGATACAACTGCGTACAATTTTGCTTTCAGCTCGAAGAAAGACAAAGAATAGAAGCGAGAGAAAGGAAAGAGACTGGTGTCGAGTGGAAAACAAAAGTAAGTTTTCTCATTTAAAAGTATGAGGTAATGAAGTGTTACTGCCTTTCAATTCTTGTTTTAAACTGTAAGAAAAATGGCAAAACTAGTTTGGTTTGGGGTAAACATGCCTTACTTTAGACAAACAATTGTCTGAAAATAGAACCATCTTTGCAGTGGCATTTCTCAGATGATATGCGTTGCTATGATTGGAAGTTTTAGTACTTCTGTGATGATGTTTTTGCTCATGGAAGTGAATGGGAATTTCGGTCGCCATTTTCGACTCCAAAATAGGGAATTTGTACCTCATGACGTTACTAGAGTGGTACTTTCATAACTTTCATTTTCACATGGAAAGTTTCTAGCCATCCCTTCAATTCGTCACTCGTATCCACTGTAGGCCTCTGGTAAGAATTCAAGAAAACTCCGGCTTCCAGTAAAAGATAATTCGTGTTAAAATTGACCGCCGTGGCCGGCTTGTTTTGACGAATAGCAAGAGTCCCTTACTTTTGTATGTCAATTCTGTTTCAGTTATTTCATCGCCATGGTGATGGGTGGATGTATAACCATCACATGAAAACGTTAGTCAAATCCAGTTTAGAAGAGGCTACTTCGACTACAACTCAACCAACAGAGCAATGAGAAACAACCTGCAAAGCCATTAGAAAAATAACCGGCAAGCATCGCATCGGTTCTAGGATCACCTCCTTTTTAGCGAGGAAAACAGATATTTAAGAAAATACCACGCCGTCCAATAATGAAATATAATTTATTGCTGCCGATCACAAGTGGTTGATTTTATCAAGCGGATGACATACCCCAAGGATAACGAGTTTGTGTCGTCTGGAAGAGTTGGACACCACTCTGTTTCGGCTGGGAAGTGGAGGAGGCTTTTAGACAGTTTTAAAAAGTGATAAACCTGATAGATTTCTTTGTACATCATGCGGTTATTTACTTTATTTAATTGAAAAAATAGTGATCTGAATGACAGGTTCTCGGACGTTTGCGATTTGGTGTTTGGGTAACCGATTAGAAAAACGTGTTTGAAAGGTATCTCTAAAGGCTGCCTGAACTGTTATCGCCTGTCTCACGCTGTAGTCTCTTCCATTGTAAAACGCGTCGTTTCAGCTGCAAACTGCGTTTCTTCAGGTATTAAGGTCGACTGGGTTCGTGTCACCTGCTCTGCTGTTATTGGGTGGTATTCAATACCTGCAATTGGCGGCACACCTGGCGATTTTATTCGCCGATCGCGGAGAATTTGATCGCCGCGATCGGCGTATAAAATCGCTGATATCTGGCATGTCAGATATCGGCGATTTTATACGTCGATCAGGGAAAATCGAAATCGCCGCACTGGACACACCTGGCAATTTTCGCCGATCGCTGCGATTGGCGTAGAAAGTCGCCAGGTATGTCGCCGGCTTTAGCGATCACATCGTTCCTCATCGGAAGTGACCGAATCGCGAGACGAACGCTAACAGTTCATAACAGTAACCTTTTTTACGATGCTTATCTTTTGTTAAAGGTGATTTCGACAATTTCTTTAGAGGAGTAACCAACCTTTCCCATAGTTTATTGCGATTTTTAAAATGGGCGAGCTCAGCTGAACGTAAACAAGTATATTTTTCAAACTCAGAATCAAGCTCTAACAGAAATTTTCTGAAACCTAATGAGACTAGAGTAAGTATGGATGGGTTTGATGAAATTCTGCTCGAGTCACTGGAATTTCATAGTTTATGCCGCATAAAATGGAGTATAGTCCATTGGAAAGAACAAAATATAAAAATTGTCATTTGTAATGCTTCTCGTCCATGGATTTTTCTTTTACTGTTACGAAGTTTTTAGGAGATCGCCGAGTTTATCTTTGCCCCTTTCTTTGCCCGCTTGAGGTCAGGTAAGAAGGCAAAATATTCTGTAACGTGCCTGTTTTATTCACTGGTTAGTAACAACCTCTACAGTTGCACTGTAAAAAAAATACTCGAATCCCCTCAAGGTTTCCTTTGTTGGCACTAATGTTACTGCGCATACGAAATAAGCGCGTTGCACACGATGGACGAGAGCCACTCAGAGAAATATGACGTTAATTGGGCAGTCTTACAAACAACCGAATGATCGGACGTAAAACATGAAAAATGGGACAAAGCGTTAATAATTGGCTTTGAAACGTAGTATGACCATTTGAAGTTTGTACCACGCATAGTTTACTCAGCCTCAAGTTTTTTACGACTTCTGTCAATAGGAGAGAGGTGAAGTATGTCGTTCAAGACAAACAGCACAAGGCAAAAATTGAAGTTTTTAACCTCTATTTTTCAACATTTGTGCACTGTACTAAAAATATTTGCTTCAGCTGTGACCAAAAGACTTGTTTCTAATCCTTTCCAGCGGCTGTTTTGAGAATTATGGGAAAAGGAAATAACATTACTCTTCATTTTTTGCTCTAGTCAGAGTTAATTTTTGCTGTTTCCGTTTGCTTAATCCTCATGTTTGCACTCCCTAGATATTAGCCCCAAACGCGAGAATTTTCCCTAATATAGGTCACGTGAATGTCGCAAAACGGAGGGTATCCTTTTGACTGAAAAATGCATCTTGCGAAAATCATCATATTTCCCCTTATCAAGATTGACCATTAAAACGTTTTTTATCACAAAACGTAGAAAAAAAATTGTGTCGATTAGTTACGAAAGGTAAACAGAGCGCCAATACAACGGTGAGTATTTATTTAGTTGTGGTTCAGCTGAGATCTCTAAAGACGCGTGGAACTTTACTTTTTTGTTCAAGACAGGCTTTTCACTTTCAAATAAAACACATTTTATTAAAACATATCATGGCTGCATACACTGATGATTATTCGTAGACGTTTCACTCATCAACCATCCCCTTTATTCTATCTTTTTCCATGAGTTAAGTTTTTTCAAAGATTTTTAATTTCAAGCGGAATTTTTTTTTATGTGGGCGTGCATATCCTCTTACACAAATAGAGAAATTTTCCGGCTGAGATATTTAAAACTGACTAGGATAATTTTTAATGTGAATGCTTTAATGAAGAGCTCAAAAGCGTAACAATAGGTATCTTTCTGAGAAGGTTTACAAGTTTTATATTGTAAACCAACCTAAAAGTAAACTTTCGAGAAATTTTACTTTGAATTTGAAATATCATTCCTCTCGAAAATATCAAAGTAAGGTTACTGAGGGAAAACAAATATTATTAGAAGGGGATTCTGAGGTAAGTTCTTTTCATTTTCAAGCCGGTCTGCATACGGACTAACTACTACTACCTTATGAAAATTAAATAAACCTCCTTCTGTTCATAAAATTCACCTAGCGATGTCGTCACATGAAAGGTTCTCAGGCTAAGGTTAATTTATGAAATATGTCGTAAGGTGCACGGGCAAAAGCCATATTTTACTTTCCAAAGATATTTTGTTGATGTGAAAGTCGTACGTGTGAACCTTTGGCTGAATTTCCGTAAAACCTGTGATTTGTGTCGAAAATTTGCAAATCTAGAACAAAATGTCCTTAAATGTTTTCACCTTTCGCGATACTCTCTCAAAACACACCAATTTAGCTCATTCAATCTCTCTACGTGGGTTTATTTTAATAAATTGATAATCGTTTAACAACAAATTAAAATTAAAATGCTTTTTTCAAATTTAATTTAGAACATTAGCATTTAAACTTTCGCATAAAACCGCAATACAGCATTGTACGAGATGCATATAGGTCCCCCGAAATATTTTAATTAGCGTGAGCACACAGACTGTTACAATTTCTTCTTTAACGCCTTCAACAGGATCTGTTTACTCACCTGTGCGGTTTGCTGTTACAATCAATTGTATCAGGTGTCATGACCGAAGCACTAATGAATGTCAGTGAAATAACGGTACCTCAGGGTTAATTTATCATTTCGCTCAAAGATCTGCAAGGGTTGCTTCTTTCCTCAATATTATGCTCAAGCCTTCCTCGGTGTAGTGCTACGTTTTATAGAGAAATCAGCAAGAATTAACTGAATCAAAATGCACGACGTTATTACCTTTCTACTTCTGTTTCTGTCTTTAATGATATTTTGGAGTTTTTATGTCTCGGCAGCAGGTGAGGAAAACTGTATGAAACCCAGTCAACTTTCTGAACTGTGATAAAAAATATTAATTTTTCAAAAATGAAGGTGAATGATCTATTGAGGCCACTGAATTATCTTTCAATTACTGTTTTTTTTTTTTTTAATGGTAAGAACTTGGCTGTATAAGCACAAAATGTAACAGAGAGGTCTCACGGATTGCTTTGAATAGAGACGGATTTTAACGTTTCATGAGGCAATTGTCAAATTATAAAATTAAATTTGCCGGATTTAAAATGTTTGAAATTAGAGTTAGTGGCTCACTGTTTGAGATTTAAAAACATTTCTGTGTGATCTTTTTTTTTTTCTTAGCAGAGCGAGTTTAGGTCGCATGATAAAACCTGGTCTATATCAATCCATACTAAAATGAAATGGAAAAATTTTAAAGGATGCTAAGGTTACTACTAAATTAGATATTCTTCTTGTCCTTGAAATTTCTTTATTTTCGCAAAAAGTGAATGGTGGCTGGGGTGATTGGTCTGGCTGGAGCGGCTGTGCAGCGGGCGTTTGCGCGGGAAATCAGCGCATTCGAACGAGAACTTGTACTAATCCCATTCCGAGTGAAGATGGAAAGTACTGTGATGAAGGAGAAAGTTCAGAACAACAAGACTGCATGGGTGAGTATGGCTTCCTTGAGAGTTCACACTTTCGGAATAGTCATTGGTTGAAATAGCGACTGGCTTCGATATCTGCTTTGACACGAGTCAACTAAGTTATTGTGTAAGTACGCGAACTTAAGGCTCACAGGTAAAGAGAGAAAATGTGGTGAAATTTCGAATCCTGCCTTTGTAAATGTTTTTTTTTCTTAAAGGTGGTCCTATCGAAGGGTTTGGTCTGAAATGATAGGAAGAGAAAATTGAACAAAAAAAGTGAAATCAGGAACGAAATTTCTGTGTGTTTTACTATGATTTTGATAAAAAGCTTCGACTCCACTATATCCAGATTTCTGGGTCGCGTCCGAGAACTGTCACTTGTGCACCATTGTAACGTAAGCTGTTTAAACGTTTTTGTTTATTTGTGTTGATTGCAATTCCTTTTCAGTCGACGGTGGTTTTACAGAATGGAGTCAATGGTCTCTATGTGAGAACCCGTGCGGGGGATCTGTAGTGAACAGGACAAGAGCGTGCACTAACCCGACCCCTACTCCTGACGGGAATCCATGTTCTGGAGACACAGTTCAAACGAAACTTGAGTGTATTGGACCATGCCCAAGTGAGTAGGAATCCTGAGACGAATGCAACAAAATCACAAGTCAATTATCATGCATTTCCCAAACTAACTTCTCTTGGTTTGTTGTGCCGGAGATTTCCTTCTCTATGACATCCGAATTGAAGAGGGCGATCTGACTGTTTCCGAAAATTAGTGAATTGGAGGGCCGACGGCCTACGGAGGTTTCTGACGACAGCTTAATACTCTTTCACTCGCGAAAGCTAGAAACTGACAAACAACGACTGTCACAGTTACTCGCGAGAACTGACTATAGGAATTCTTCGCTTGCCCTAGCATTATTAAGTTGTTAATGACACTGTTAGAAGCTAGCGTGAGCCAGAGGAAATCATATTGTTCAGTAAAAGAATATAAAAATTACGAATCGAAAAGTCTCTTGAACTTAATCGTTTCAAGGTTGATCACTGCTATCCTATGTTTTCTTGTAGCTGGTCCTCTTGATGGTAATTGGGGTTCCTGGTCTCCATGGACTCGATGTTCTAAAACATGTGGAATAACTGGAGGAAGCATTCTACGGAGAACAAGATTGTGCAATCAACCACCTCCATTAAATGGCGGGAAGAAGTGTATTGGCAATGACACGGAGGCTTTGCGAGCGTGTTTTACAGCTTGCCCTGGTTTGTTTAGTTTCCTTCACAGCCGTTTTTCCATCTTTTTCTTTCTTGTTTCTTTGATGCAAAACATGAGGCCATGAAATATTGTGGCACACTTCGTTGAACTGAGAAATGAATGACCAGAAGTTTCCCTTACCGACAGTTTGTTTCACTTGCAGTGGATGGCGGATTCGGTTTGTGGTCCGCATGGACAGCGTGCAGTGAGACGTGCGGGACTGGTTCCCAATCACGAAGCAGACTCTGTAACAACCCAGTCCCTGCTAGTGGAGGACAAAACTGCACTGGGGACTTCACACAGGCGAAGAGTTGCAAGTTAACGTCATGTCCTGGTAAGGATATACATACGACCTTGTAATGCATCTTTTAAATTTAATCTTAAACGGGTTTGAATGCCACACGATAGAGATTCCTACGGACTTATTGATCATAAAATTTAACCGACGAATCAAGAATTGGAACTTGTTTCCTACATTTAAAGGTTTAATGAATGTCTTCGATTCAAATCTCAAGCACGTCTACTCTGCGTGCTAAAACAATTTTTAATTACACTAACTTACCTGAATACTATACGAGTCGAACTTCATCTAATCCAGTTAGAATTTCATCACTAACAGATGCCTACATTGCTTTTCATGTCTGATCAGGTCACAGGATTAATCTGATTTGCCAAATTTGTTAACAGGCGCTGTCAATGGTGGATGGTCAGCGTATTCCCCGTGGAGCGCATGCACAGAACCTAAATACTGCCTTCAAGGCACTAAGAAACGAACAAGAACCTGCACCAACCCTCCCCCGGCAAATGGTGGCGACGATTGCTCCGGCATGGCTGTGGAAGAGAAGATTTGCCCCAAACAAGCAGATGGATGCACAAGTAGATATTAAACAGATAGTTAATTGCTATTTAATTTTATGGTTCTTTTCAAATGAATGTAAAGTCATGTTTATGAGCGAAAGGCTAATGCAATTTCTCAACGAGTTTTAGATCAGACTTCGCCTTAAGTATTACTTAAAAAGGTTTCCGCGGCGCACATAGTTAACGCGACAGTAAAACAATTTAATTTTTCTCTCGCCTGATTTCCCTGAGTGTTCTGTGCATGCAATTTTAGAGCAAGGAAACTCGTAAATACCTATTCATAACACTCGTAATAATATGCAAAGTTGACCTACACAGTAACAATGCAATTTTATCAGCAAGGTGAGCATCACTCGTACTGCTTACGTAAGAGTTGAAGATAAATACAGAGAAATTCATTCACGCTCAGTTTTTCCTAGAGAGATGGGAACATCCCCACTCCCAAGTTCAACGTTTGGGCCGTACCACTACATTCATACCGTGTAAGCTAAGCTGTTCCAGCTTGTATAGTCCGCTGGCCAATCGTTATTCGCATAGAATACTTGTTGGGATATGTTTTCATTCCTTTCTGATTTGTCGTGCTTACGACGCATTGTAACCCACTCGATTTTTAAGCTGTCTGGTTTCACTTTCCCTATGTTTGAGTTTTTTTAATCCTGGTTTCTTTTAGCCTATCAGCCAAACAAGCCGGACAAAACTGCAGCCGACCCCGGATCCTGGATAGCTTTGGAATGCGGTGCGACGGAAAAGTTCTCCGCTACTGGGTCTTATAATCAACAAGTTCCCTTTGCTGTGTATTCAAGTCAAAATTTCGGTTTCATGAGAACTGAATTGGAAAGTGGATGGTTTGCCTTTCAAATGGTTCCTGATGATAAAGACGATTACGGAAAAAAGAAACTGACAAAGGTTCGTGACTTGCGAAACGATCATGATAACATACAAAATAGCTCGAGGGAATTTTATTTCGAAAATGGGGCCTTCACTAAAACATACCCCAAGCCCCTATTAACGGCTCTAACTGCCAATGAAAGCAGAAGATTCTTTAGTTGCCATGAAAAGGAAGTTATTATTTTAATGCTGATGTAAGAACTGTTGCAAGGAATTGGCTTTACTTTATTTTATATCAGCACTTTTTCTTATCATTTTGTGTAGGAATATTCATTTTTTAAATCGAATATAGGAAATCAAAACCTGAACTAAAAATTGAGACTTGAGCAGGTTAAATGGGAATGTTATAATTTGGATATATCAACAAAGTTGAAATGGTAAATTGGCCACCGTAATGATTACAAAAGCTGACGTTTCGAGCGTTAGCCCTTCGTCGGAGCGAATAGAGGACTTGTGGGTTGA